TTATGCATCCCCTGGTTGATCCATCCTCCTATTATCAAGGTGAGACACAATCAATAAACAATCTCTTGCTGTCAGGAGCTGAGAAACAACAGTGTTTCCATCAGGGATAGCATTAACCATTTGCCTCTCATACCAAAATCTTCACCACGTCTGATGGCCACAAATTACATACTGTGTGTCTTACAGACGTAAAGGAAGAGGGAGAACTACCAGCATTTCACAGTCAGAAAGTAACTTTTTTCAACGGTCTTGTTCCAAAGCAATATGAGGTCATGGGATGGACTTGGGTGGCAGCCATGATCTGGCACTTTCAGCTACCCTGTGACTCCACGTTAACCACATCTACTGTTACAAAGGACAGCTGTAACTCGTTGGAGCTCTGGGAAGAACGTGTGGATTAACAGGTTTTCTGGTTTGGTTTGTTTTTAGTGGAGAGACAGCTCTTCTAAGCTGCTACAAAGGGTATTGCAATGACATCTTGTTTTGGCCCAGAATTGGGGAAAATTTTTTTTTATGCTTACCCTGGTTAGCATTATCTCTGCCATTTTTTTGCTTAAAATCAGGCTGTTCTTACACTCAACATTAAACTGCACTTCCAGTTAGTTTAGAAACTTGAGTATGACATGCTTCAAGGTTTCTGTTTGTGTCGTGGCTTTTGCCGTGTACTCAATACTTGTCAGTGCAGTTTCTGACTGTCTCCATTTCAGTGTTGTTATTTTTTAAGTAACTCAGAGATGATGTAAAGTGACAGATGCAGGGCCACCAAGCATTATCAGTTTGGTAGCACTGTCCTTTGACCCAGCTGAAAGACTAGTAGTAGTCTTTGTAGTAGTATACTCTTCTAGTAGAAGTCTTGTTTCTGGCGAGACCTGTAACAAGGCATCCCTTTTGTACAAAAGTCAGCTAAAAAATAGAAGTGTGACCTCTTTCTTTCCTATTATTAATTAGAATTATAGCAGAAAGTGCATGAAAAAAAAAGTAGGCTTGAACAGGAAGAGTAATCAGAATTAAGCAATTTCGTGTTCTTGAGTTAATCCCAGGTTTCTGGCCTTTAATTCTTCCTGAACTTCTACTGTCTCAAGCATGCTAACAAGGTATCCCTTTCAACTCCTGAAATCGCATCTGCCCCCAAGGCCCTGAGACATTGTTTCTCATTCTCACTTTATCACCTGTATTGTATGAAGCAGGTACTACCAACACAACCTCTGCCTGACATTTCCATCATGCTGGTTTTGGTTTGGTTTGGTTTGGTTTGGTTTGGTTTGGTTTGGTTTTTTACCCGGTGCTGCCAGCTCTGAAGAGCCATTCCATGCTTATTCTGACACCTATTCCAGCACATCTGAAAACTTACATTGGTAATCTGTTTTTATCTTAACAAACTTGTAATGTCCATTCTCACCCCAGTCATTGCCATATTGTACAAAGTTTGTCTCCCTTATGTGGGGCATGCATGTTTGTTTGCATATGTTTAAGTTCTACAACTGCTGCTTTATTATGCTATAACTGACAAGTTATGCTTTGAGGTTCATGCATCTGTGTGCACATCTACCATTTAGGATGAAGAACGCTTGTTTATGCAGTTTGGGTTTCTTTTTAATTTTAAGAAATTTGAAAATATAGAGATCAATGAAGTTAACTCAGGTGGATGTTCACTGGTAGTTTAATGAAACATGGCAGTGGTGATAGGTAGACATCTTTAATATTCTGTACAGAAATAACACATCATTTACCAAGTTAAAAAGTTTGAGGAGACTCTTGACTTTCAAGTGGTTCTGTGCGTAGCTTACAACTTCTCACTGAAAAGTGTGACTATACGCTGCTCAGTTGTTTCATTCATTTTGCAGCACCTCAGTTACACACTGAATGAGCGTTCTATGAAAAGTACTAGGACATTCTTACGTGAAAAAATGAGTAGTGCAAAATAATACACAAACTAGCAGGAACATGTGGGGGTAAATGTGTACAATTCCAGTATCTACATGTTTAAACATACTAGGGGCAGGAGGAGGCAAAAGGGTGTCCTTGCTGTAAATACAGTTGATGCTTTTCTGTTAACTTTTATTTTCTGCCAAGGTTTTATGTACTGGAAAACACTTGAGGAAAAATAAATTGAGCATTGGATGTGCCAAAGAAAAAGAAAAATGGGAAATTTAAAAGAATGTGAATGTCATATTGTATGTGTGTTGGCTACTGTGTATCAGTGTGAGTAGTGTTTGTGAATTGTTTTGCTATAAGGAAAAAATATGGTTATTCCATATGCATTGGCATGTATGCTTAAACTCTTTCTATAAATATTTGAAATAAAGGACACCAGATGTTGCACAGAAGCTGCTGCTGCTTTCTGAGCTTCATGGTATATTCTTTCAAAACCCACAGGAAGTGGCTGAGGGAAAAAGTGTATTAATTAAGTTCAGAAATAGATTTTCCAGCTATAGAAAAATCTCCAAAGAAAATAGCGTTTGATCTTCAGAAATGTGAGCTTGCTGTCCCAGGAATCTGGTGGCAGCATTAAGCACTATCACATGGGGATCAAAATTCAGATTTCACGTTCTCAGCTAGGCTAACCTGAAAGTAAGCCAGTCTGTGGCCCTTGGAAATAGACCCATCTTTTGACCCATCTTCTCTGGCCAGTGTTTGTAGTTCTGTAGACAGTCTACAGAGAAAACATTTTTCCAGTTTTTCTTGACCTGAAGAAGTTACACTGTAATAGTAGAGACCTGAGGAGAAAGGAAAGTACTAGAATTCCCAGATGCTCTGCACTTTGAACATGAAATATGAGCAGACACACCCAGAGTACATTTTATAAAAATCCTGTATAGGATTTACTTTGCATTTGTTGAGGAACAAGATTTATGTTTTGCAAACTAATTATATATTTCTGCATTTAGAAGTACTGGCTCTGCTGTAGCTGTAGTGTCTTCTTCTGCTCTGTTTCCTTCAGAGCAAAGCAGTGAAAGTGACTCTCCTGCACCAGTAGTTGGCATGAAGTGTCCATCTGTCTTTATGCAATGAATACATAACTGTTTACGCTAAGCGGCATAATTCTGCTGGAAGAAAATGTGCACACAAACAAGTAAGATTCCCCACTGAGCACTCTTATGTCAAGCAAATCACACAACACAAAAGTTGTGTTTGTGTCATGGTTTGACCCTAGCCAGAAACTATAAGCACGCAGAAGCTGCTCTCTCACCCCACCCCTACAGGATCAGGTTAACATCAGAAGAGCAAAAGTGATAAAAACTTGTGGCTTGAGATAAAGACCGTTCAATAAGTGAAGCAAAGCCCTGTGTGCAAACAAAGGAGAATAAGGAATTTCCTATTGGCGGGCAGATGTTTAGCCACATCGTGGAAAGCAGGGCTTCACTTCACGTAATGGTTACTTGGGAAGACAAATGCCATAACCACAAACATCTTTTCCCTTCCCTTTCCCTTCCCTTTCCCTTCCCTTTCCCTTCCCTTTCCCTTCTCTTTCCTTTCCCTTTCCCTTCCCTTTCCCTTCCCTTTTCTCCTCTCCTCTCTCCTTACTCCTTTCCTTTCTCCTCTCCTTTCCAACTTGATATGGAATAGAATGGAGTATACTTTTGGTTGATTTGGATCAGCTGTTCCAAGTGTATTTCCTTCCGAACCTCTTGCCCACCCCCTGCCTGCTTGTTGAGAGGACAGAGTGAAAAACAGAGAAAACCTTGATGCTGTGCAAGCACTGCTCAGCAATAGGTAAAACATTGGTGTGTGTCCAGCTATAGTCACAAATCCAAAGCACAGCACCATCTTGGTTGCTATGGAGAAAGTTAACTCCATCTCAGGGCAGCACCAGTACAATCTCCACCCCTTATTCCCTACTGTTTACATACCTGTGACTTGGGCTCCATCTGTTGCAGTGGTTGCTCAGAACAGGAGAGGCGTCTTATCGTGTTGAGTTGTTGGGCACCAAAACCAGCTCAGCCTGCATCACAGAGCACTTGCCCTGTTCTTTACGAGGCTCATCATCCATTGATTCAGATGGCTTCTACTCTAGTACTTCCTGTAGCATATAACTCAAATCACAGGCAGCAATAATTTAAACATACATCCATTACAGTGCCACTAGCAGGAAGTGAGGAAGGTGTGTCTTTTTTCCTCTCTCCCAAAGAATTCCATTGCAGGCTTTAAGAAATCTTCCTGAAAAATTTGTGTTTTACAAACCTGTTAGACCCCATTTCCCTCTCTTCAAAAAAAAAGAAGACAAAGGTGTCTTTGGAAAAGTCTCAGAAACCTCTTTTTGTTCTTCAAGCAGAGTGATGACAAGAACCTGAAAATGAGAGAGCTTTTACAATGTGTCATACATGTCATTTCTAATATATATAAGAGGAAGTCAGAAATGGAAGCAATTCCTACTTTTTTCCTTTTTCTTCAAATTAAATAATGAAGATCATATTTGTTTTTTGAATCAGTCTACAGAGTTTCAGTGTTCCACCACATCAAGGTTGTTTGTCTTTAAGATAAGGTTAGACCTTGCCTCTCAACCATATTTAATGTATATTCCTTAACTACCTGATATGTCATTTTGCCTCCTTCTATGGCATCCATAATGCACTTCCTGCAAGCTGCTTTATCCCTTCATGCCTTCTACCAATATGGTGTTCTTCATTCAGGGGGTTCATGAATTTACTTTGTACATTTAAGAAATAGTAAATATAAAATCAGCATGTTTGCTCTGAAAGATGTGTGTGGTATGCTTTTAAAATAATTATCATATTATTCCTATTCAGTACCTGAGAAATAGCAGATTTACTTCTGTTACGTTTCTGTCAATGTTTGAGCAATCAGATTTTTCCTGATATAAAATGACAGTAATACAGGTAAAATAAGAAATATTTAAATATAGTAATGTCATACGCTTTTCCTCTTGTTCAGTTAATAGTCCAGAATCCCATTAGCGTGCATTGTAGCATAACTGATACGGACGTGTGTAAGTACTCACCATTCTACTGACTTCATGCCTTTGAATTTATTTTGTATAGCCAAATGGTACTGCAACTGAGCGAGCCATTGCAAGACTTGCAACACACCCCATCCTGAAACCCAAATTTGTTGAACTTAAAGGTATGAAGTATTATATTAACTTGTTACTTCAGTAGCTTACTACTGGTGTGTTACCTTGTTCCTGTACCAACAACCACTATGAAAAGTAAAAAACCAAAAAGCTCCTGTAGTTACCGTAACTAGCTATAGTGAACTGAGTGCAATAAGCTCATAGTCATGGTTGAAAAGAGCTTATATGTGACAGTATGCCACATGACATTTTAAGATATAGGGTGTAGGACAAACAGGGCTCATAATGGGAACTCTAAAAATTGAAGGGATATAGTGGAGTATCTGTCAATTAAATAGAACTGTGGCAATGAGCACAATAACGTGCAGATACAGAGGTAAAAGGAGCATTACAACTGGGTTTCCAAAGGCAGCTAAGAGATATTGAAAATGACTCCCTTAAACTTCCCTGGAAAGTGTCCCCAGAATCCTAAGGGAATCTTTCCTAGTTCTTTAGGTTATCTCCTGTTCTCTTTAAACACAAATTTCCAACTAAAATTGATGTTTAAAAGGATCAAGTCCTAGTAATAATGTCACAAAGTTACTTTGTTAATAAGAGTGCATGTCAAATACCCATTAAAATATATCTGAACAATTTCCTATTTGTTCACAGTTTTTACACACAAAGTAATGCCCTAAATGAACATGATTATCAGCTGCAGATTATTTGCTGAAAGAGAAGTTCACAGTTAAACTAAAGTTTAACAGTGTATTCAGTTGGTAATAATTTCAAGTTCTTTTCCTCACTTCTGTTGATGCTGTACTCTAAGGTATTTCTTGCCCCATGCGCTCAGTAAAATATTGACAAGGACATTCAAAATATGCTTACTCAATACAATGTTTTTAACTTCAAAAATGTTTTATTATTATATTAAAATAACTTATGTAAACTCATGTGTAGTTGCAATAAAAGAGTTTTCTTCTCACCCTTGTATAGCTGCTGTAAAAGCTTTTAAGGATGCAAGGAAGAACCCAGCCGAAGCCACTCCTTCAAAACAGACTAAGTCAGAAAAGCAGTCTAAATCAGCACAACATTTCAATAACAATTTGGATGACCAAGCTCTTAAACTAGCTCAAAAACAGCAAAAATGTGAACACAAAACAAAAATTCATATGAAAATAGAAACTGGCAGGGTGGCTGAAGAACTTTTTGACAGTGAATCTGAGCAGAAAACTGTGGAAATGAAGAGAGCATATGCTCCAGTAGAATCTTCATTTCAGGCAGTAGAAATGCAAGCAGTCACTCAGAATAAAACAGGAAAGAAACCTGGCTATCAAAAAAGGAAAGAAAATATGAGCATGAACAAATTAAATGCAATAAAAGAAATAACTGATGATAGTGACCAGGAACAACCTAATGAAGAGGAGTACTTTGATGATAGTACTGAAGAGAGGTTTTATAACCAGTCGTCAGATTCTGACAGCGACAGCAATGATGATTTCTTCATTGGCAAAGTAAAAAGAAAGAAAAAGGTAGCAGCAGTTACTGATCTTTCTTCAGCAAAAGAAAAGGATAGACTTCAGAAAAACATAGTGACAAAAGAAAAGAATATAGCACCTGGGACAGCACAAGATTTGATCATGGGAGAAGGAAAGCCACATACAAAAGCAAGCAAGCTAGAATCAATGTTCTGCAGTTCTTTGTCTATGTCTAATCAGAAATCTCAAAACAGAAGAAGGTAAACCTTTCTGCCCTTGTTATGTTCTCAATTCCCTTTCTTGTTCCCAGTAATGGAAAATGTTGTGATTTTTAGTAGCCTTTACCAGAAAAGGAGAATTTCAGCCAATAACAGCTTAGAACGTTTTCACATCAATTACTCTGCAGTCTTGTGCTTTCTTGGCACTTACGTATTTTTCATATTCACATTAGCACTGGGATTACTCACTAGACCTGCATCCAAATTAAATTACTACTGAATACTTCTACTTTTAGTTCTCTATTAACAAACAGGAAACAATGTCATAGAATCATAGAATGGTTTGGGTTGGAAGGGGCCTTAGAGATCATCGAGTTCCAACCCCCCTGTCATGGGCAGGAACACCTCCCACCAGACCAGGTTGCTCAAAGCCTCATCCAGCCTGGCCTTGAACACCTCCAGGGATGGGGCATCCACAGCTTCCCTGGGCAACCTGTGCCAGTGTCTCACCACCCTCACAGTGAAAAATTTCATCCTAATATCTAGTCTAAATCTACCCTCTTTCAGCTTATACCCGTTACCCCTTGTTCTCTCACTACACTCCCTGATAAAGAGTGCCTCCCCATCTCTCCTGTAGGCCCCCTTCAGGTTCTGGAAGGCCCCTATAAGGTCCCGCCGGAGCCTTCTTTTTTCTAGGCTGAACAACCCCAACTCTCTCAGCCTGTCCTCATATTGGAGGTGTTCCAGCCCTCTGATCATCTTCGTGGCCCTCGTCTAGACCCAATCCAACAGCTTGACATCCTTCTTGCATTGGGGGGCCCAGACCTGGATGCAGTACTCCAGGTGGGGTCTCAGAAAAGTGGAGTAGAGGGGCTGAATCACGTCCCACAACCTGCTGGCCATGCTTCTCTTGATGCAGCCCAGGATCCAGTTGGCCTTCTGGGCCACAAATGCACCCTGCTGGCCCATGTTTGGTTTTTCATCTACAATTAGGGTTTTGTTTGGTATATGTAAGGGTTTTGCATGTTATCCTTGAAAAGTCTTCCACAAGTGTTTTGGTGCTGACAGTTCTTTATTTACTGATGTTTGTCATCTTACAAGTTTCTTGAAAAATCCTAAATTCTCTTTTTATTTTTAGAAATACTAAAGATCAGCCTCCCAAGCATGGAAGAACAGGTATGTACTACCTAACCTAGTAGAATTACAAGAGTAAAAACATCTTGAAATTTTCTTGCCTATGCAGTGTAATCATGATGGGCTGTTTTTTGTTTCATTTCAGTTTTGTGGCATATATTTCAACATTTGTTGTTAGAATGGTCAAGTTGTTGAGCTTTCATTTTTAACTGTGGATATTGTTTACTGTTTCCTATTTTTTAATACTAGAAATACTTAAAGAAGGGTTTACGCAGGAAAGTGCTTTTCCATGTGTCTTTATGTTGCACAGTTAGTGTTACCTGTCCACAAATAAAGGTGTCAGATTATGATATTTAACAAGTACATTATCTAATAATTCCTTCAATAGCTCCTTCAATATTTTATTCCATTTACAGTATATGGTTCCTTTTTGTATTTCATTGGATCAAGAATATAATTTCAGTCATATTGAGTTACATGGTGTAATATCTCATTGGTTTATTGTGAAGAAAAAAAAGTTGAGATTATGCTGAATATTTGTCTACACAAATTTTGAATGCGCTCAGTAATAATAAATCTCAACTATCTGTAGTGTACCAAGTGACAATTTACTGGGCTGCAAGATGAGGAAATCTTGCTGTGAACATTCAGATGAATGTGTTCCCCATGACTCATTAAGAAATTATTGAAAATATCTACAATCCCAAGGTAGTTTTACCATATATTTATGAAGGTTAATTACGTAGTTAATGTTTTATTTTGCACTTCTTGCACAGCTCTTCTTAAAAAGGAACTGCAGCTCAAGAAGCAACCATTTGCAAAAGCTGCAGGTATCGAATGCAAGAATAAGAAACCAAATTTGGAGCAGCCTCTTCATCCGTCATGGGAAGCAAGCAAGAGACGCTGGGAACAAGTGTCTCAAATTACAGCATTCCAAGGAAAAAAGATTAAATTTGATGACTAGACTGTATGCAAACTGAGATTTTAAAAAAAGATTCTTGCAGATTTGGATTTGCATCCCGTGGTATTTTCTTATGAAGTAACAACTGCTGTTTGAACATTTTTGTTATACTGTCCTTAACCTTTGCAACCTATAAAACAGCACCTGCTAGAACTTACCATCTGTTAATAATGAAGACTGCTTCACTTATTCAAGGTAGTGTCTGTTGATTAATGTATGGTCTTGCGGTGTTCGTAAGTCCCATTAGGTGGTGCTACCATTTATGAAATACACCCTAACATGAATATTCGAATGAGTTTTAGGAACATCATTTGTGCCCTGCAGGAGCAGTACAAATTCTTTGGAGCTTTTTTTTTTGTTGTTTAAAAATGTACTTTAAACTATATGAGGACTTGGATGTCAAGAGAGAGGGAAGAATACAAAATACTGAGATGATAGTCCTAGGACTATATTATCAAATACATCTCAACTGAGAAAAAGTGATTCTTAAAACAGACTTCACAAATTCATGAATGTCTCAGGTAGCTGGAAAAGCCAATCAGTGTATGCATGGTATGAAAATTTCTGGAGAGCAATAAAATATTGATCTGTTAAATTGTGATCTCTGTCCTTTGATTATACTGCTGATTTGAAGAACTGAAAGAGTATCTCTAATACTATTGTCCTGGTGGATATACTTGGGTGCTCCAAAATGTCTGTCTTGCACTTTCTGAAAGAATACTGAAAAATTGAAAGGTCTTTGTGGACTGAGAAACATTTGATTTCTCAGTGCCATTCTGAGTTTGGGTGTTCATTTGATTGGGATATGATATAAAATCTTCACTACGTTTTTCACAGAATCACAGATTCACAGAATGT